GCAGCTTTTTTTCCAGTGCATAAAGCCAGTTAGGACATAATAGCAGTCCAGGAGTAGATTTAGGTTGTATGTAGAGTTTTTCTTAAAAAGACAGCATGGCTCTCAGTATAACTCCTCCCTGAATAAATAAAGGCTCTCTAAGTCAGGAAGGATGAGATAAACACAAGTGGATTTTTAGTGTGGATAGTATTTGAACTGAAGGAGACCTGAGGAGGGATGACATTTTTGCACCCTGTTCTAAATAAATAGTATGGCATGAAGTTTGTGATTTTCTGAGGAACTCATTAAATTGCTGGAGTGTGGGTCACATACAGATTGAAAAATCTCCCGACATCAAAAAGGTATCACTTAACTTGGTCAAAGTGCAGCTTGACAAACCACCTCTGCCAACGTCTCTTGTTCAGCGAAGACTCTGTGGGCCGCTGACACGGGACCGCAGGGCACATGGCGTTAGGAATATCAATGGTTTGACCTGCTTTACCCTCTGACCTGACTACATAATCACTCTCTTTCTGGTTTTGAGAAACTAAGTAGTAAATTCCAGCGACATTTTAAAACCGAACATCTATTTTTTATCTTAGTAGGAAAACTGGTTCATATGTAGGTCAGAAACCAAAAGTTAACACAATGATGTGGGTCTTTGGACATTGTACGAAATGTATAACAATGACTAGAACTAGTACTTTCTTATCTGACGCCCATATCAGCTGGAAAATATCTTATATCCCAAAAAGCTTTGTTACTAAACATTGTTGAAAAATGTAGCTAAAGGTAGCTAAAGATCTTGTGTTTGGTTAATTACTATGTGAAGGTTAGAGACACACTGTGGTTTGGGTTCAAATTAAAACATTGCTAAGTGTAGGGAAGACTCGTTGTCACTGTTAGAATAATTAACACATGGTCTAAGTGTTTCTGGAGAAGCTCAGTGACTTTAAGTGTCGCATTAGTGATTCAAAAAGACAAAGTAGAAAAGCCCAAATGTGTGTGATTTTGTAAAAAAGATTCAGAGGGAAAATCTTAAGGTTTTGTTTGACTTTCCAAGAGACATAAACTATTGAATGACCTAGGACAGACAATTTGTATGTATTTGATATAGTCTGGAGTTATGCAAACAGCTAAATCTGGCTGGGTTGTTGAGTGTCTTTGGGATCGAATAATGTGATCATGATCCCATGGGTAGGGGCTTTTTCCGAGGTTAGGCCCACAGTTCAATACTTTAAAAACGAATATAGACAAACAGCTTTCTCCAGATTTAAAGACTGATGTTATGATGTCAGTGAATGTCAGCATCAATTTCATATTTGACTTTCTTCTAATATTCCCAACTAATGACCACCGTGAGTGAGCAGAATGGCTGTACAGCTTAATCTTGAATGTTTAACTCCACCACACCACTAAATCGGCCACTCCTTTCAAGGCTTTTATTGGTCATACGAACATAGCTACAGTGTAGTTATGACGATGAAAATCTTAGGTCACAGTGGGATCTGGATCTGACAAATGCCTGTGCCGTCTTGACTGGTAGAGGATTTACAAAAGGCATCCCCTAGTGCGGGGAAAATGGCAAACTGAAGCTTCAAATCTTCTACCCTTAAGATTGTGTTTCAAAGTAAAATTACGCAATACTGATAGAAGGGCACTTAACAAAGGCAAGAGAGAATACATCAGAGACACCAGTTCCTCCGCAATAAACTTCATTTTCTTTTCCACTGAGGCATGACTATTATCAAAGTGACAAACAATAGAAATATAAAGTGATACTAAATTGCAAGTCTATTTTTTGAGTATAACTCCCTCTGAACCTGTGGGCGAGTGATGACTAGTTTTCTTGTTCAGTGATGAAAAAAAGCATTAAAAAAAATTCTCCTATGGCACTTTATGGCAGGCAGTGGTTCCTGTATGAGGGAAGATTTTCAATTTCAGAAATAAATATTTTCACACTGTTGACATCACTCATCGGAGTGAGTGGGATGGAGCAGAGTTACCGCTGCTGACGCACAGCTGGGGCTGGAGAGAAGAGGCCACAGATGCAGGGTCAGCTCTTCTCTCTATATGAGATATCAGCATTCCCCACACACAGGGTCTGAGGGCAGTTGGAGGGGTGGCTGCGAGAGAAAGATATATCCTGCCTCTTCCGTGCTTCTCTTTGTGAACAAAGAGAGGGCAGTCAGCTCCTCTTGGCTTCATCCCACCGTCCATGTGGGAAGCCTGATGGGTTCATATCAGCAAGTCATTTCAGCGAAATGCTGGGAGAAGGAGGGTTTTATGTCAACCGGTTGACCACTGCCCCTCATATAGCTTAGACAGAGAAAAAGCAGCAGCAGGATTGTTGGAATAAGCTCTAATATTTATTGAAAAAACCCATTTTACAATCTAATAAGCAAAGAGAGGGTGTTGAGTCGTGATTTAAAAGCTACTGACACTCAGCTAGAGCTGGAATCCCTATAAGCTGGGCTGAAGCTTTGCCCACCATGACACTCACCAGGGAGGCCCTGCAGGCACAAAAGAAGGCCGACGAGGGGTCTCATTCCAGCACTATGCTGCCTCTCCTCAGTCATGTCCACACCATTCACAGAAGTGCTAACATCAACAGAGGAGCTGAGCTGAGGAGAGAATGAGCACCGCAGCTCCCAGCTTAGTCACTTGCTCTAAATGACATCGGGATGGGTTCACTGCGAGTGCTCACTGCACTTAAGGCAGCTCTGGAAGAAACTAATGCTCTACTCTTTTATGGATCTTTAACATTTCAAGGTTTGCAGAAGAACAGTAGAAACACAGCTGGTATACTTAGTTGGGTATCCAATAATGTGAGTGCTAAATAACCCCAGAGCTAATTAACACCTTAACACCCGTTACAGGGCTGACTGCTGGAGAAGGGTTACAGCTTCCACATCCACCTTTTCAAATGATGTAATCCGCGTGCTATAATAAGCTGCTACTAACGCTTGAGAGTTCTGCCTACTGTATAAGGTGATGCTGCAGGTGTTAGTAAAACCGCAAAAAGTGTCACATAACAGCACTGATTTCGCAGGAGCACATTATTGTCTTGCTACACAGTTGAAGGAGCAATACCCAGCAAGTGATCTGAGAAAAGGGCAGGACACAGGTGAGTCACTGGTACTGTTGTCATGCCACCACTAGTTCTAAAGAGCAATGGCCTTTTTTGGTGCATGCGTCATTCCAACTCAAATAAGTCCTGCAGTCGGCAAACTCTGGTGATACCATGGGGGGGGGGGGTCCTAGGTGCAGCCTGGTGCTTTCTTCTGCAGATGTCAAGGATATTTTAAAGTTAAATGCTTCAATCTGGTGCACTTTGATTGCACAATAAGAGGTAAGCTCTATGAATAAGTTGTGCTCTCGTAAACATAGCAGCAGATTGCTGACACACTAAGCACCGTCCGTCCAGGTGGAGATGTCCCTCTCCCCCCCGCAGGAGACATTTCACAGATATATTTGAGCTTTACTTACCGAAAGATGTCTTGAAAGTGAACACTGTGAAGCTTCTTATTAATCAGTGCTGCAACAAGTGGTCTCTTAGGCCTTATGTTGTAAGATCTTATGAGCTAATCACACCACGTTTCACTGAGGCAAGCAAAACATAAGGCCAAACTAAACTCTCTTGGTCCTACTGGCTTGTTGTGGATCTAAAAGAAAAGCAATCTGTCAAACGAGAAGCATCGTGCTGAACAGATGAGGGTGGTAGTGCAGAGTGGATTTGAATTAACAAACAATCCTGATTGATACATCAAGGGCAAAAGTCCTACGCGCGGCAAACAAACATTACTCTTCACAACTAACAGTCGGAAAGAATGACCTGAACTAGAATAAGTTACATTCAGTCACTGTTCTGACATAGAGTTCAATACAGTGTTTCAATGTTAAATACAGAACTTTCCAACCTCTATATTCATTTATCACAAATACAATGTTGACAATATCTGTGTTTACAGCAGACTAAGCTTTGCAAAAAGCAATAAACTAGAGAAAGAGACCTGATTTTGCTCAAAATAAAGCTGTTCTGTACTGTGAGCCTCCACTCAAACCGTCCACTCAGTGTAGTCTGCAGTCTGCACTCTTCTCCTCCAGCCAGTGAAAAAACTCTAACATTGACATAATAGAGCTATATCATGTTTTCAAGGAAAAACCCACTGTTATCCATAACTGCATCACCAACCTCCTACACACTGCCGACTCTATGAATAAGCTTCCCACAGTGAGCCAGCTCTGTGTGCTGTACTGTATCTGCCCTTTCTGCAATGCTGGTGCAACCAATTCATTAATGACTGACACTATATTTTCCTGCACATTTGTGTTGATCAAAGGAGAACATAAAGATTTAAACGCTAACAGCATAATTTGAGGAATCAAGTTAGAACTTTTTATAGCTAGAATCAAAGAATGAAAAAACGAATAAATATATATTCAAAAACTCCATATCATACAACATGCTGTGATGTGTGTGGAGTGTAAGTGGTGTCTCCTCATCTTACAGGACCTCTCATGAAACACACACAAACTATACTGTTTTCTCCAAAAATACACAAACAAACTGCCTTTTTTTCATCTGAACTGTGCTTGCAAATGTACAGGCACATATATGCTATAATGCAGAGGATTGTGTTACTGATGACATATTTAGAGTTCAATGAAGTAACCTTTCAAATCGTTACTATGTCAAAGTGTCTGCTTTGATAGATCTTCAATTATATTGTCCAACTACTTAGCGAAAATGAAAGAAAATGCCCTCAAATGAAAGCTGACGCTGTTCTTTGACTTCATAGTAACTGTGTCATTGTACATCTTGGTAGGGACAAGTATGACAAATATGATGTTGTCCAAATGTTGAGTGTCTGTTCAGAAGAAGTTGATGAGTATAGATGGAGAAGAGGATGGGCAACACTCAAACTGAGAGTCAGGGAGGTTTGAAGAGAAAGATGGCAGAGATAGAAATAGAGAAGCAGATTGAAGATCAAACTGTAAATTAAATAATCATTTCTAACCTCATTTTTAGGTTGCCAGGCGACGGTTGTCCATCGTAAACTGATACAATATCAAAGTCTTCCTCCAGCGCCAGCGTGACGAAGGTGAGCTGGATCCGGTTCCTCTCCCCTGTTATTATCAGCCATGTACAGTTGGCGTAGTTGGGATAGCCGTGGGGGAAACCCGGCGACTCTATGGAGCCATTCAGTCCCTGGACGACACCACCACAAGATTCAGCTGGAAGAGAGAGATAAGGACATCATCATATTAGAATATGAGGATCTGAAATCTGCATTGAAGTATATCATTCAGACGTAAAATCATGCATTTGATTCCTGCCTTGCATACTTCAGATATTAAAGAAACAGCCATTTCTATCCTGTGCCTTTTATCTTTCACGTGTGTACAGGTATTTACAGGGTTTAAAAAAAGAGGGAATTTAGATTCATGCCACTGCGATGAAAGTTAATTATACATGTTTATGTTATGTCCTCCAAGACCTTTACAAAAAATGTAATTGGTAGTGTTGGGGAAAACTAAGTGAGCACAGCTAAAATATGTGATATGTGCCAAGCCAAGTGTTACTAGATAACAAGCCCCTGTCCTCGCGTGCGTCTCCAACATAATGCAACACATGGCTCACAGCCTCCCATGACACCGGAGCATATGCCATGAAAAGCTTTCATACAGTGATGCATATGAGTGCATACAGTATATATTTAGATTCAAGGCTGCTAACCTTTTAATCCTAGTGCTGTGATCCACTTACCTCCAACCAGAGATAACTTGACACATACACCTTTACACACTTGCACAGATTACTGTATGGTGTTGTTTTAACAGCATGTACCATTTGATCCCAATGCTCACTCGTAAAAATCCCATGAAATTAAATACTTTAACATTAAAATATGCAGGCATTAGAATTTGTACAGTCCTAATATTGAACATAGCTTATGTATGTCATTTACATTAACTATAATATTTGCACATGTACGCATACAAGCTAAGCCAGTTTAAGCAGAGAATATGTTATAAGAGCAGTCCATCACACAGAACATTAGCATTATGTCGACCTTCAACTGTATAAATGTATCCGCCAAAATATGGTATTATAATGATCTAAAACAACTTGCTTGAACTTGTTTTAAAGTTAGAGAAACGTCATTGTCATCTGATAACATATTCCTTGGTATGAGGGGGGATATGATCTGGTGTAGAGGCCAAGAGATTTGACTCTCTTCCTCCATCTTTACATTTATCTGTGCTATCTCAGCAGTACTTTAGGCACTCGACAGTTCCACTGGGTGTCAGTCGCTGCCGACTATACTAGCATATACATGTATGAGCGTATTTCACAGGGGACAGAGCTGCACACACACATGGACAGCAGAACAGACTCTATACAGCTGGCTGGGTTTTGAAGAAACAGCTTTTAAGTGTGAAGTTCAGCGAGACAAAAAAGTCAGTAAATAAATAATAAAGCAGCTCTTAAAGCAGCCAACAGCTATGTTAATGTGTAACAAATCTGAGGAAATCTTTACAGTACATGTAACTGCAGCAGACAAAATCAAACCACAGACTGCACTAAACAAAAACAGAACAAAACAATCCAGAGAGGACAAGCACTAGCTAAAGGAAAACAAAACTAACCAGATTAACAGTTGTGGTTCCCAAAGTAACTTCTATTAAACAAAATAAGTATTTTATGGTTAAAATAGTGTAGTATCAGATGTCAAAGCAAAACGCCAAGCCAAATAGTAATACTATGAAATAACACAGTCAGTATTTAAGGACCCTGTTTTACAGTATGTCTCCTTTGAGTATCCACTTCTCTTTGCTCGTTTACAAACTCTGTCTTCACTTCTTTTTTTCCACATTTCATCCTCTGCTTCTCTCTCCTCAAGAAACATGTTACGCATTGCACTCCTAAAGCAATTGCAATATACAGGACAAGTTGTGCAAAGTGTGTGTGTGTGTGCGTGTGTAAGGGAGAGAATGTGTGTGGCCAGCATGAAAGCCAGCAGTAATTGTTTCTCAGATAGTGAAGGCTATTGATTTATTAACCTTATATCACCGTGAACACACACACGCACACACAAAATAATGCATTGTGCACTACAGAGACACTATCTTCTAGGTCACAATCTAGTCAAGCAAATGCTAACAAAGTAAATTGGTGTTCGTCTCTTTCTGTGTTTTTTGTCTTTTCCACTCTAAATGAGATTAAAACGTCCGCATTGTGCACATACCAGATGTTCTTGTTTGTCTGAAGTAACACAACACCCAGAAACACACGTAAATACCTATAGACCGGCTCAAACGGCAGGCTGGCAGCACAGAGACAGGCATATGTACACGTGCTCACACACACATACACAAACTTCATACCATCTGGAGTGTCCAGATTAATTTCAGATTGTTCTCCACCGTCTTTCCAACCCAATTCACCTCTCCCCCTCAGCCGTCTTTGTGTGTGTCTCTCATTCTGCCTCTCTCTTTATGTCCAGACCCTCCCCTGCGCCCTTCGAGCAGATGGGATAAGTAGAATTCAGCGGATATTTGCATCAGGCCGGATGCCATGTTCTAGCACCGCACTTTCTCCAGGCATTTCAGTAAAACGTTTTTCTACGTGCCTCTTCAATGATTAAGCTTTAAGCCTCACCCTTGTTTTCCGTGCTTGGATTTTGCTAGTTTAGTGTAGGCTTTTCTGATAGACTGACCAGTAACCGAAACCATATGGTCAGTGTTTCCAACAGCTGTCCTAGTGAGCAAGACACCCAAACACACCTTGAAAGAAATGACAGAAGAGTGAGGCTGTACCTTGGCATAGTGTTGCTTTGAACTAAATGCATGATCAGCATTCAGCTAACATACTCAGTGACAATGCTAACATTTTTATATCTAACAGGTATGATGATAACCATGTTTATCATCTTAACTTAGGGCTGTTAACAAACAGGCACAGTTCTTAATCATTAATCAAAGTGCTGGAGGAGAAAAATTGTGACCCAATGATTGAACCAATAGATGAGGGGGGCGTCATCGTGTATACCAGATTTGATGGAAATCCATGAGCCTCACTACCAGAAATGTCAACTTCATTATGAAGAAAATAGCATTTCATGTCAAGATAATCCTGATAATCATCAAAATATGGTAAAACTCTTCAAAAGCGGTTTAACAAAGCCTACTGCAATCACCTTATGCTACAATGGCATACCCATAAGTGCTGGAAAAAAGGAATTGAATATATATATATTTAAAAGAAAGGCTATTATTCAATTGCCACAGTTGAAAACAGTATTTTAAAAAGCTGCTTCAGACAGAATCGCAATCGAGTGCTGTGCAGAAGCAAATGCTTACACACACACACTGACAGTGTTCATTAAAACACATGCTTAAATCCTTCAGGTATGGTTGTTTGATTTATATCCCACAGGCTTTTCCTTTGTTATCAATGTTCACTTTAATTTCAATTGTGCATGCAGGGCTGAACAAAGTTACTGTCGTGAGACATGTTCAGGTAAAATTCAGACGACTACTTGAATATTTGTTCCATATTTAACAAGTATAACAAGGAGCTGGTTGTTAAAAATAAATCCAACGCACCTTTTCCACCTAGATATTTCGCATGCAATAAAATGAATTATTTCTAAATGACCAAAAACCCTGTCTGCCTTGTTCATTAATGAATGGATCTGTGCACAGATCTACATAACAATCAGGGAGATTGTTAAATGTGAGGGTTGAGAGGCGCAGCGCTCTGGTAAAACCTGACCACAAGGTCCCTGGCTCATAAATCAAATGCTGGTCTCCTCTTTCCACGGCTTGCTGGGCCACAAATCAAATGCATCTTTCTAAGTTACGCTGTGTAGAACTATTGACTGCAGTGATTCAATACCAGCTATAAAAAAGTGGAGAGGAGGGGAATGGAGAGAGGAGAGAAATCTGTTGTCTATGTTTCTGGTATCCTTGTTTTCTTTCCTAGCTCTTCTCATCTACCACCCCCTCCTTCTTTTTCATTATCTCTGTGTCACAATCATTGTGTATCTTCCACATTATGTTTGTATCTCTGCAAACGTCATTCTCTCCATCTTCCCCCTCTACTGCTTATCTTTCCCTCTCCTGACCATGCTTTACAAAATGATATTATCACCCTTTCTGTACCTCTCTCCCTGCATCCCTTCCTCCCTGCAGCTGTATTCCTCTCTCTATCTCTTCCCCCAGCTCTCTGTCATCACCTCCCTTCGCTCTGTCCTGCTCTCTCATCCCATCATCCCTCTCACTTTCCCTATTTCGCCACAATTATCTCTGAATTAGTATCATGGCATCTCTCCCTAAGTGTCATTACACCGCTTCCTTACTTTATCGCTATTATTATTATCACAATGTCACATTGTCTTTCGGCTGGTGTCATTATATCTATCTCTCTGTATTTCCTCTCTTATCCTGCTGCAGTGTTGTTTTTATTCCACCCACTCACCTCCTATATTTATCACACGGAGAACAAATACACAACCTCTCTGTCTGTCTTTCTCTCTATCGCCATTTCTCGCACTCTCTGTCAACCCGCTGTCAAACAGTTTAAGTAAATTGGACTGCATTTACATTCAAGCGTTTAGTATATTTAGCTGGTGCTCAGTGGAGGTAAAAGCAGGTTTCTGAAAAATAACATAAAAGTCCATCTCTGCTAAAACCTTTTTTTCTTGTGAGACCAATTACTCTAAACACGTATTCACCAGTTTGGACTTTTTACAGCCATCATTACTTTCACTCTGAGTTGATAATGAATGAGAAGGAATAGCACTTTTGTCATTTCATCTTGCGACTAAAATCCTTCAATGTTCAAAACTATTATCTCTTTGTGTTTACTTTTTGGGACTGAGATTATACTGAGCAAAGTGTGTTTGTGCTGACAAACAAATCTTGCAAACTAATAAATACCAAACAAACAGTGTTGAAAATTCTTCCAGGCCTTTCATCACACTTCAATAAGTTGATCAAAGAGCCTATTTGTTTTACGTGTCAGATGTAAATGAGCTGCGCATTCAAATGAACAGAAACTGTAAATGTAATCCATACCGAAAGGAAAGAGCTAAACAGGACAGGCCCAGTCACCGGTCACCATAACAACCAAGGAATGGAGCAGAGACATGTATCATACCCCATGTGACACACACACACTCTCACACACACACACACACACACACACTCTCACACACACACACACACAC